AAAAACCTGGTGTCCAGGAACTTAACCTTATTTTTACAGTAACTTATTAAGCTCCGCACTTGCAAATTCATCATTCATGCAGTTTTCGGGAATGGAACACTTGCGGTTATAGAGGAATGATTGTATTGCAATTTTCAAAATGTATCTAATTTCACAGTAATTTCATAGAAAGATGAATTCTATTAATATTCAATAATGTCATAAAGTTAAGTAATAATACCATCATGTTATCAATTGAGTGTCTGGAAATAAATGTCATCTGTTACACTCAAATGATTTGGACCTGTAAAGCTGAAGCACAATTTCAAAATTTTTGGGGGCGTTGTTACATAGAAAATACACAGCAAGACGTGACAAAATATGACAATATTAAAACATACACGATGTGCATTATTTGACAAATGAATTTCAATCTAGCCAAGTGAGAGATGGTGCATTTTGACAGGAAGAATAAAGAAACCGCAAAGGCTTGGAAAATGAGTATGTAACTGGAGTAGATGAGGAGGGATGTTTTGGGATACATAAATCATTAAATGTAGTGAGACAAGAAGATACAATTAAAGCAAAGCATGGAGGTTCATTTCCAACAGGTAGAATTGAAAAGCAGAGAAATTATGTTGCGTTGTGTACACAATCTGGTCTCCATATTATGAAAAGGATATAGAGCCACTAAAGAAGACACAAAGAAAAAAAATGATTGCAGAATTGACAAGTTATAACCATGAGGAAAGAATTAACAGAATGGTGCTCCTTTCTCTCAAAAAGGGAAAGCTGAAAGAATAGCCTGATCAATATCTATAGGATTATGAAAGATTTGATAGGGTAGGTGTAGAGAAGATATTTCTGTATGGAAAGAGATCAAAATGAGGGGCCATAAAGATAACAGTCACTGGGAAATTCAGGCAAAACCTCTCAACACAGAGTGCAATGAGAATGCAGATACATTACCACACAGAGTACCCGAGGCAAGTAACAGCTTCATTTAAGGGAAATTAGATAAACACAAAAAGCAAAAAGTAATGGTGTATGATACGTCGATACAGCTAGATAAAAGAGGACGGGGGATGCTTGTCTGGAACATAAACTCTGGTGTGGACATTTCAGGCTATTCTGTAAATTCCATGTAATGGTTAGAAACAAAAATGTGTTTCATGACCGTGCATGAGCATAGTCAAATATGATAAAGGATATCTATGTAGGTGCAAACCAGAACAGTCCAAAAGACAAAGCATTACAAAGCCTCACATTTAATCATCAGAGTGGTTTGTTAAGATCATTTTCACTGTAAATCACAATGGGAGAGAAACTAATTGCTATCACTAAAGTGAACCACATTTGAATGAAATGACGTATGGCATCCTCAATCAACTCGAGGCCAAAATCAAGAACTAAGGATAAGTGTGTCAATAATGAAGAATTCCTGCTCGATCTCCAGAGAACACATTAAAGAACAGAGGTTTCAAAAAGTGCAAGTCAGTAGTAGTGCTGGTAAATTAAATTCAAAAGACACATACAATGTTGTTAAGATCTAGTCTCAAAACAACTTGTTAACTCTTCCACTTTCCACATTTTGGATATTAACTTTGCTGTTTTTAATGCTTAATGATAATTTACACTGAACCGAGATTTTTATTAAAAAATCTTTTCTGGCAAAATTCCAAGTGAGAGATTACCACAAGGACAAATCTAAAAATTAGAAATTGGAATGGCAAAGCAGTGGTGAATGGTGCAGGATGTATTGCCTGGGTGACAAAGACAAGTATTTGTTAAGTTCAGAAGGAATCAATACCAGGACCCATACAGTTTGTAGTTACATTAATAGTCCATCCTCACATCTTCAGCTGCCCTCATGCACTCTCTGAACATAAATCGTCCTGAGACCAAGCTCCTGATTCCATTCACATGTTGACCATCCACTTTCCTCATGACTCCCGTTTGGACTGAAAATGTTAATTGTTTTCCTTCCTCATGTACATCCCTCACTTCTCAAACCTCATCACTGCTGTGCTCAAAAATCCCTTTATACTTTTTCAAATGACTGCCACATTGATAACCTCATTTTTACCTTCTCGCCAAAGTTCTAGAATGGTACTGGCCCCTCCCATATCAAGCCCATCTTTACCGGAGCTTTGTGCTTGAAGCCCTCTTATCAGGCTTTTGTCCTTAGCACCAGACTGAAATGGTTCCCAAAGTTACAAATATATGACTGTGCCCAAGAGAAACTATTCCTTCTTGACCCGTCTGCACCTTGGCACGGTTGAGCACAATTTTCTTGCACCATTTCCACAGCATTGGTTAGCTGAGTGGGACTGCACTCTCAGGATTTAATTCTTATCTGTCTAGGCATACTCAGAATTCAATGGCTTCTCCTTCTACTCCTACACTGACTTCTGTATTTTTTTCCTGCACCAATATCTGTGGGTCACCCAGGGATCTAACCTTAGATCTTTGTTTCTCATTTATGTTCTTCGCCACAGCAACAATACCTGAAAAGAAATGTTAATCTCATATATATGCTGACCACAGCCATCTTTACCTAACAATCACCTCTCTTGACCACTCCTGAATTATATAACTGCTTGTCTGACATGATATATACTTGATGAGCAGAAGTTCCTCCAACTAAATACTGAGATAATCTTAATCATTCTTCCTATCACCAACTCGGTTTTCTTGTTACTAAATGTATTGCTTCCCCGGCAACTGCAGGCAGTTTGAAACTGTGGTGTCATATTTGACTGAGATAAGCTCTGGCCCCAAAGCTACATCATCACCAACATTGCATACTCTACTAAAATGACGCTGCCAGGTTCTCCAACCCATCCCAACCCCCCTTTTTTGTTGACTTCTTCATTCATGCTTTTATTGTTTCAAAACTTGACAATAATGCACACCAGGCTGTTTTCCCACATTCTACTCTCTGCAAATAAGCTTCAGAAATAAGATTAATATGGCAATCAAGAAATAGAAAATTTTGGAATAAACTGTGTTGCAGTCACTGGTAGTGAGCCAAAGCTGCCTTCTCTTCATCAGGAGGAAAAGTAGTGACAAGTAGAATTCTTGCTGACTGCTGACAAGATTTCTGCAAATGTCCAGCAGGCTTGGTGACAGCAACCTTCCACCTTCCCCTTGAACAAGGGTCCACACAAAAAAAAATCTGTCTTACAAATCAAACCCAGCCATCAGAGGTATGGACTTGAGGTACAAGTAACTTTGTGACTTATGAACTATCCCGTTCCTTCCACTAAATTACCAATTTCTTGTACTTCTCCACAAGTGTCAAACAAAATAAGGCTTTTTACTCTATATACATCTGTCAATGTAAGACAGTACTGACTCATCATGCCATTTGATTTAATTTCAAATCGTGTGAAGTTACATCAAAAATTAAGAATACGGTATTCAAAAAAAAAAAATCTCTGAACGAGATGGCACGTTCAGATCTAAAGGAACCTACTAAGAAGTATTTTCCAACTTCAATATTCACATCAAAATATTTACTTAATAAATTATGTTTTGCTGCATGGCGCAACATTGCAACATTGTTTTGATGAACAAAAAAATGTGATTAGTACAGCGAGGTTGAAATTAATGAAAAATAATGCAGCACAGAACACACAAAAACATACTGTTGTCTGGGAAAAATGACAACTCTAAACAAGCACCTGCTGCAATTATTCAATTTGGTTTTGCAGCAACTGGATAATTTACAAATTTGGTCAGATTTTAGAACATTGTCTGATGAGTGCTCGTTTAGAGTTGCAAGGTGGGTGGGGGGGAGGGTTTATGAAAGAAAGCTGTAAAAGGAGCAAACCTGATTGGCTGTAGCTGCTGCGGCGAAGGGAACGCTTGTGGCAGGTGTTGTTGCTGCAGAGACAGTGGCGGGCGTAGCACTGTGCATCAAGGGTACTTTCAGGAAAGGAACCATGGAAGCAATGAACAGAAGGGTGCCGCACATGGCAACCATGACATGTGTTGTATTTTTGGGCATGGCAGATATCACATAGCAGAAAGCCATCGTGGAGGGAGGAGGAGGTTACACCAGCAGGTGACATGCAATCATAATGCAAAGCAAGGAAGCATGGGAGAAAATTAAAAAAAAAGAGAAAGGAAAAAGCTTATTACAATCACAATTAAAAAGGACCAATGCCAACATAATCAGGGTTTCCCAGAGAGCACACAATAGGAAGCTGGGTGACATGGGGAAAAGTACTCTTCAACTTTTCTCCCATTTCATGGAATTACTTCAATGTTATGGACTTAAACTTTTTAATAAAAGATAGCTCAAATAAAGTAAATACTGTCCATGTTAGGCTTTTTTTAAAAATGTTGTAATGTAGCAGTAAGAAGTTTTTAAGAATGCACGTTCCTGAACTTCTCTGGGAGACTCCGATATATAATATATTAACACATGATTTTCTAACTTACTTAGAATAGATTCAATGTTATCAACTAAAACCAAGATGCTTAAAGAGATATTTACATATAGAAGGGCATTATTATGGAAAATCAGATTTCACACTAATATTAATGATAGGTTTTCCATTTTCACTACTGCCTCACAGACTATGGTTTATGAATGCAAATTATAAGCATTGTCAGGGCTGTAACAACCTAAAAGTTCTTAGCCAATCTTTGTTCCAAAAGTCAATTGCAACAAAATCAAATCAAAGAAACGCATGATGTGGTTTGATACACCAATTGCTGCTACACAAAATTATAATTTATCTTACCCCAACTCTTAATTGTTCTAACAAAAATGGACAAGATGATTAAAATTTTAGTTCAAAATTGAAGTGAAAAACAGATAAACAAGTTAAATTCTACATTAAAATTAATTTCTTCAAATTCAGGTTAACTGAAGAAATAATCTGAAGATTCAATTCTATATTTTATAGCTTTTCTCCCTTGTGGTAAATCTAAGTGTCTAGGCTGTATTCAAAAAATGCTTATTAAATATGATTACATTCAAGGTATTGAAACAAAAAGATAAAACCTACCAACAGTTGTAGCTGGAGGAGTCATGCAAAACACCGACCCTGCCATCATGCAGTGGAACATTTAGAAAGGTGAATTTGGGGGAGGGAAAAAAAGTATTAAGAACGCATGGTTAGTGTTAGATCATAAAGCTAAGATCTTGAAAACAGATACAAAAAAACCTTCCATGTCAGTTAGTTTTAACACTGCTAGGTTCAGTTCAAATCTCAAAATGTTCCTCATTCCACTTCTACTTCATTAAACTATTAACTTTTAAGAATTTATTTTTATACCAAGTTAAATTTTTTTCTTTTTATAGAATAGAAGTCCTACTGATAATTCAAGGGATACATGAATTCAAATAGTTTTGGAGTGCAGAACAAGTGACAAAACACAATTAATGTACAAGTGAAAGACTCTGAATTTTAATGTCCTTTGAGACAGTAGCAACTAGAATCAAAAACAAGACACTGAAGTTAGGTGGCGATTTAATTCCAAGCACATTAGTCTGAACCATATTCTAAGGATAAAGTAGCAAAACAATCATATTTGTGAAATATTAAAAAATAATAGCAATGGTAATCAGCCTTAGTCCATGAAGTACCATAGGTGTCTCTCCGTGGCAGAGAAAGAAAAGATTGGTTTATACAGCCTGAAAGGCAAACTCCAAAATCAAGAGCAACAAAGCAAGGAGGCAGGCTTCCATGAATTACCAAAGTTGGTAGAAAGACTGTGTGCTGTTGGGAATCGTTCTGCACCACACTCTAGACAGTTAACTGACTGAGTTCACTGACCCAAAAATATTAAAGAGCTTATTTTAAACATTATACAACACTGAATTTTATTAAACGTAGTTACAAAGAACAGATCTGTAAGATACAATCTCATTAAATTTGTTGTAAATATTTACAGAAATAACAAAGATTAATTTTATGCAGTTCAATTATCAAAGGTAACTTAAAATTTTACAGAATTATTTGTTGTACAGATTTTAAAAAACATAAATTCTATACCAAGCATTCACAATTGTGAATGAATCATATTTATTAATTTGCACTGATATTGGCAGTGGAATACTTCCATTTATCTGATTTCATATCAATGAAGTACTGATTGCCATTTAAACACTGTATCAATATTTATGCAAATAGTTAAAGTTTTGACAAGTTTTTTTGAAAGTTTACATCCAATTATTATTTAAATGAGTCAATTACTGCAGATAAAATTCACTTTTTCATTGCAACTGGGTATTCAAAAATTATCATATTAATTTAAATCAGTGGCAGACAATCTCCCAGAATCAATTATTTAGGACAGTCATTACATAGAAAAAGGTAGGTTGATTGGGAACAGTCAGCACGGAAAATGGAAATCACACTTAACTAACTTGCTGGATGTTTTTTTTTAAACCAAGGTAACAGAAAGGGTTGGTGTGGATAATGCTAATGTGGTGTAAATGGACTACCAGAAGGTGTTTGATACCAGTGCCACACAACAGACTTGTGAGTAAACTTATAGCTCATTCAATAAAGGGACGGTAGCAACATGGGTACAAATTGGCAGAATGACAGGAAACAGAGTAATGGTCATTGGATATCTTTCAGTGGAGGAAAGTTTTCAGTGGAATTCGCCAGAGGTCAGTATTAGGAGCTTTGCTTTTCATGATATGTAAAAACATCTAGATTTTGGTATGCAGGGCATGAAAGTTAGTTAATTATATACATAAGTTGGAAGAATTGTAAATGGTAAGAGAACAGTGGGGAACTTCAAAACAATATTAGCAAGTTGGTGGAATGGACAGATAAGTGGAGGATGAAGTTCAATGCAGAGAAGTGTGAGGTGATGCATTTTAGTAGGAAGAGCATGGACAATACATTATACAAGGGGTGCAATTCTAAAGGAGGTGCAGGAACTGGGGGACCTGGGTGTATAGCGCACAGATCACCGAAAGTGGCAGGACAGGAAAGAACAGTTAATGAAGCAAACAGTACCTGGGACTTTATCAAAAGGGACATACAACGTAAGAGAATGTACGTTATACTGAACTTGCATAAAAGACATCTGTCAACTGGAGTATTGCCTACAGTTCTGGTTACCACACTATAGGAAGGACGTGAACATATTGGAAACTATTTCATCTTGTAAAAGGATCAGAACAAGGAGGGTATAGATTTGAAGTGATATGCAAGAGAAGCAAATGAAATGAACGAAAAGGATATTTTCACACTAAGTGGTTCAGGTCTGGAATGCACTGCCTGGAAGAATAGTGGAGGCAGTTTAAACTGAGGCATTGATGAGGACATTAGATGATTTTTCAAGTAGAAATAATGTGCAACTGTATGGAGCAAAGACAGTGGAATGGCATTCAAGTCTGAATGCTCAGTTAGAAAATTGGTGCAGAGTCAATAGGCCAAAAAGCCTCTGCAACACTTCTATGATTCTGTGCATTAAACAATTTTTGTTTGTGCAATCTAAATGTATATTTGACAGATGTTCTTAGGTCCTCCAAAGAAGAACAGCGGTGAGAAAAAATTGGTTCAAACATTATAATAATGCAGAGTACCACTTACTCTATACTGTGGGCTACAATAAAATATTTCGATTTGTCACAACAATTTTGATTTTTCCAATAAGAATTTAATCATAGTTGAATAATTTAGCCGCAGAGATTGATCACATTTAGTGTAATTAGAAATAGGGGAAAGTAGGCACTGGCACAATGGGCTGAATTAATTTTCTGTGTGCAGTGGGATTCTAAAAGGCAATCAGGATGAGAACAGCCAAACATTAATCTGTTTTTCTATTTTTAATGGTCAGCTAAAATGAAATTTGGCTTTAAACAAACAATTACATATTTGTATTAAATAGAGCCTGGACAGATTACAACATTTAATTACTTTAATTGATTGCAGGAGCAATAGTTAGAGAGGTTTACTAGTGGTGGCAACTAGTTACCACCAATGGAAAGCAAACAGTAGCTTAACAGCTGTGCGAAATCAACACTACACAAACAAGTAAACAAGGAAAAACCATAGTTTTAAAGATGTCAAATCATAGTTGATCTAAATATTTACGACTAAGCAGTCCATCAAGTGTTACTTGTCAACATGTTTGTTCTTTTGACTCCAATATAAAGGAATTTTGCATTTACTGCATGCACTCATTTCATTAAAATTATTTGTTTTAAAACAGCATCAGGTAAGGCCATCACCAAAATCTACAAGGTTTTCTAATGAAAAATCCATTGAAGTTGTCCTAAAGGTTGTTTGCATAGAAACAAGCTGCTTCCAGGTCATTTAATATGATTTGAAACATGCAAACAAATAACATAATTTAAACTGGATTCAATGGAAACAAAAGGAGGACAAGTGTTAATAACATACAAAGGTATTTTTGTTTGGGTCTTATCCTTTTAGAATAAATTAAGCATAACATTTTAAAGCCATTCTAAGTGATGTAACATGCAGCTGCAAACACAAGCAAGAAACAAAAATGTAATAAGCAGAAATATATTTTTGAACATTAATTTGTATGGTAATGGCTAGATGATCTTAACCGATCACATCAACAGCACAATCTTATAATACTGTCAGTAAGGGGGAAAGGACGTACCTGTTGGAAAAAATGTTGGCTGCTGCATTTGTGCATTGGCTAGAGCCTGTTGGTAGTGCAAAACACTGGGATTAAAGATTGTGCTGGTGCCATTGCTTTTTTCAAGGGCTGGTCTCTTTGGTAAATGGTGAAGGACACCAGGTGGAAAGGCCTGTGAATGAGGGATTTAGTAAGACAAGTGCGATAAACGGAGAAGACAGCATGAAATTCTTGTCATTCACTGACAGCACTGTATTCATCAAAGTAGCACAAATACACCTTTGTTGAAAGACAGGTTTTCTGTCAAAGGTACAAGCATCATTCATTTCAACCAAAAAATTTAATACTGTGATATTTGACATTACATTACAGGACAAATATTTGCATTATTTTAAAGCCAAAACTTGCCCTTAACCAAAAACAAAAGTATATTTAATGAAAATGCTCTCACTACCTCGGTTCTAAAATGCTGTTAAACAACTTAATTACAGCAGATGATTGGTACCAGATTCACACATTCAAATGCTATCAAAGCGCATCAAACTAATTATATGAATTTAGACTATAACATGTTCACTCAACACTGTATAGTGAAGGCTATCTGCTGTTACACCTGAAATGCAAAAAGCAAAGCTCAGATATTCCAAAACAATAACTTTTACATTTTATAGCATGGCTTTTTAAAAGACCAGTACACTTAGTTAGTATGAACATAATATACTTCCAACAAACATCTAATTAAAAGCATTTCTCAAAATTAAAAATAAAATCTATCAAGTTATCATACTAATTTACTATCACTACAGTGCATGCAAAGCAAGAAGGTGAAAGGTCAAAGTACCAGGTCAAAGGTTGCCTCGAGGGGTCGTTTCACAGATTTGGCAGCCGACTGAGTCTTAAATAGCAGGCAGCGAGCATATGATGGCAATGGACCAATGGGGTTCAAGCGTATTAACATACAGGTAAACAGCAAGCAGAAGTGCATCATGGGAACAGCAGTACATTGCAGGTAGGTGAGGAGGAAAAAAAAACAAAAAAAAACCCTGAATGCAGTATACAACATACATGACAGAGCATGCATAAAATGAGTTGTCAAAAGATTGCAGTTACAAATACTGAATTAGTACTGTACAGCAAATTAAGCATTTACTGTACCTTTGTTAAAAGCATAAAAAAGAGCAAAACATGATTTTTAACTATTACTGATATCAACTTGTGCAAAATGTATGTGCAATTATATAAACTTATAATTAAGTGATTGCATCTTTCACACTTTTATGAAATATGAAATTACACAATGATGGCTAGATTCTGCATTGCTCATTTGTAAAGCAATAAAACATCAAAGTCTACATCCCTCCAAACTAGAAGTAAATCACAGGAGAAATTCTGTTCTTTCACTTCAATCTGACCAGATTCTTAACATTAAGACTGCAATTCACCCTTTTAGGGGCAATTACAGATGGTCATAAATACTGGTTTACCCAGTAACTCCCACATCCTTTGAACAAGCGGATAAAAGAGTGTCCTTAGGAAGCAATGTGATCCCAGTTCATGTGCACTTTGGTAAAACTACGCAAAGAATACAACGGCTTCCCGAGTACAGCGGTGTGTGGACATTGTTGTTGTCATTATTGGATAACAGGAATGACCAAGATTACCAACACGTTGGGAAACTGAAGTCACATGGGCACTGAGTGATCTCATGATGAAATCTGTTATACCAGGACTGGGATCGTAGAATCTGAGTAGGATCGAATGCTAAAGGGTCTGTTGGGCTGATAACAGAGTCTTATAGCTAACCCACTCTGATGATGCTGATGAACGTATTGCCTTCTCACATACCACAGGATCTCTACGCAAAATTATCAAACAAAATGCTAATGCAAGTACACAGTAATTAATAAAAAGCTACATATAATTTGCAAGTAAATTGATAAGTTTCAATTTAAGCCAAAGAATCCATTTACATTTGAATACTAAGGATATTCATTTGAGATTGAAATTAAAAGGTTGTTAGGGCAGGATTGTATTATCTGCAAGTGGCTGCACTAACTTTGTATGGTAGCATTCACTTCCCACACAGATGCTGAGTGAAGAAATATTCTGTCCCTAGCACCTACAAATTTCACTACTGAAGCTCACAAATTGACCTATTTTCACTTTGCCATCAGACAGCATGCTATGCTTCAATCATTGCTTTGAAAAAATGCATTCAAACCACACATTATGTTGTAAGTAAAATGTGACATTAATCAAATTAAAACACGTTAACTGTACTTTTTATTCTGGTACAGTGAAACTGATGGCATTTTAATTGTGCATCTATCCGTTAACAAGGTGGCTGACTCGTGGAAGAGTGGCAGTGAAAAATGTATTACAAGTAAATAGATTTCACATTACCTGGCAAAGCTTGTTTTTTTTTGTGAGGAGAGAATAGCCACCTGGAGAAACTATTTTCTCTCCCCCAGCACTGTATGATTTTACTGCATTAATATCTTGTTATTTTATCCTGTTAAGACATGTTACAACATATCTCTGGGGCAGGTGAGACTTGAACCCAGTCCTTCTGGCCCAGAGGTAGGGACACTACCATTGCACAACAAGACCATTAAATTCTTCTTCCTTTACTCAATTCAAGCTACACAAAAGCTAATAGATAAATAATTTAATATGAAGGTAATCATTGATATCAGACTTGCCAAAATACTAATCATTTAGAAGGTCAATAAAATACCATCTTATGGACACTATATTATGAAGCTGTTTCATAAAGGAAGATTTTCTTCCATATTAACCTCAGCAATTCAATAGAAAAAGCAGAATGAGCACTAGCAAAATAAATTAAGATAAGGCAAAACAAAGCTATGGCTTAATTAACACTGAGCACCTGTTCTAGACAGACAAAGATCCTTACTTTTATTCACATTTTTTCTGTGTAAAGGATACCTTTCTTTTAGAAAAGCGGCACGTACCACAGATATGGAAGATCCCAGGCAGCTGTTTGTGGGAAATCATGACTCACTAACTTGATTGAGATTTTTGACAAGGTGACAAAGAAGATTGATGAAGGCAGAGCAGTAGATGTCGTCTATATGGATTTCAGCAAAGCGCTCGGTTCCACATGGTAGAATGGTTAGTAAGGCGAGATCATGTGATCTGGGGAGCTAGCCAATTGGTACAAAATTGGGTTGACTGTAGGAATCAGAGGGTGGTGGTAAAGGGGTACTTTTCAAACCGAGGCCTGCCACCAGCCGTGGGCCACATGGATCCGTGCTAGGTCCACTGCTTTTCGACATTTATGTGAATGATTTGGATGTGAATATAGGAGGCATGATTAGTAAGTTTGCAGATGACACCAAAATAGGTCATGAAGTCGACAGTGAAGATGATTATCTCAGAGTAAAACAGGACCTTGATGAGATGGGCCAATGAGCGGCAGATGCAGTTTAGCTTAGATAAATGTGAGGTGTTATATTTTGGTATGGCAAACAAGGGCAGGACTCTGGGGAGTGTTGCCGAACAAAAGAACCAGAGATGCAAGTGCATAGTATATTGAATGTGGAGTCGCAGGTGGAAAGGATAGTGAAGGCAGCGTTTGGCCCACTTGCCTTCATTGGTTAAAACATTAAGTATAGGAATTGGGGCGTCATTTTGCGACTGTACAGGACATTGTTGATAACAGTGCGGAGCTGGAGGAACACAGCAGGCCAGGCACCATCAGAGGAGCAGGAAAGTTTCTGAAGAAGGGTCCCAACCCAAAACGTCAACTTTCCTGCTCCTCTGATGCTGCCTGGCCTGCTGTGTTCCTCCAGCTCCACACGGTGTTACCTCTGACTCCAGCATCTGCAGTTCTTACTATCTCCGAGGACATTGATGAGACCACTTTTAGAATACTGCATACAATTCTGGTCACCCTTCTTTAGAAAGGATGTTGTTAAACTTGAGAGGACGCAGAGAAGATTTACAAGGACGTTGCTGGGACTGGAGGTTTTGAGTAATAGAGAGAGGCGAAATAGGCTGGGGCTTTTTCCCGTGGACTGGAGGCTGAGGGATGACTTTATAGAGGTTTATAATATTAGGAGGGGCATGGATAGGGTAAATAGCCATGGTCTTTTTCCTAAGTAGGGGAGTCCAAAACTAGAGGGCATAGGTTTAACATGAACAGAGAAAGATTTAAAAAAAAACCTGAGCGGCAACTTGTTCACACAGAGGGTGGGGGTGTGTATGGAACAAGCTGCCGGGGTGGTGGTGGTGGTGGTGAAGGGTACAATTACATTTAAAAAGCAACTGGATGGATATATGAATAGGAAGGGTTTAGAGGGCTATAATCCAAATGCTGGCAAATGGGACTAGGTCAGATTGGGATGTCTGGTTGACGCAGACAAGTTGGACTAAAGAGTCTGTTTCCGTCTATGTGGCTCTATGACTGTCCTTTTGAAATTCTCATGTAAGACAGGTAAGGTAAGTGTCTCCAAAGAAAGGTTATTATTGCCAAAAGTTTCAAGGTTAGACATGAATTGACCCCAAGAAAGTTAGCTTTAGAATCCATGCATAATAATTTCCCGCTAAAAACAGAAGTTGGCCAATCAGCTTACACATATTCCTTATCGAGAACTACACAGGTAGGTCATTTCAACTGGCTTGAGAATCTAAGTTGCATCAGCTCAGGATAAGACTGTATCACACTTAAGATAAAGAGAAGTTTGTTCACTCAGGAAATTGTGAATCTTTGAAATTCTCTACTTAGAAGAACATGGAATCTTTAAGTGTATGTATTCATGACTGAGAGTGTACATTTTGGACAACAATGAAATCAATCGATGTGAGGAAGGGACAAGAAAAAAAGTTGAGGTAGAAGTTCAGCCTTTCTCCTATTGAATGGTGGAGAAAGCTCCAGGCTTGTTATGGTCTAATCCTGCTCCAATTTTTTTTAAAGCTTGAACATCCCTCAGGCCATTCAATTAGTTCACACTTAAGTTGTACATTGATTATGTTATCCAGGGGAGCATATTCAGTAAAGCTTCGTAATCCCTCTGGACAGCTTTGGGCTAGTCTCCACTTTGGGCATGGATAGGATATCCGAGGGATCTACTCCAGATCTGCAATGAAACACAAAGTGCCTGGCCTCGAACTCGATTTGTCATGCAAACCGGATCCTCAAACAAAGCTGTGACTCATTTCATTCAAGCAACTATTTTAATCGAGGACAATGGAAATGATATTGACTTTCTTGATCTGCAGATGAACTCAAGACACATTGCACAGCTTTCAGCATGAGGCAATCAATCAATCTTTGAACTGCAAGTTTCTTGGCAAAAACAGAAATCTAAAGAGTTGGCACAGACATTATTCTTAGAAAATAAAAGTGCAGGCAGTGGATAACTATGTACCAAGTCAACAAAATTACCTAATCAGGTCAGGGAGTCAGACGTGAAGAGAATAACATAGCACAGGATCAAACCATTTAGCCCAACTGGTCTATTTTCGTGTTAATGTTCCATGTGTCTACTCGCGTCCTAATCCATCTCATCCTGTCAGAATAACCGTCTACTCACTTATCTTATATGTTGATATTGTTTTCCCTTAAACTAAACTATGCTGTTCACTTCAACCATGGCTTGTTGTAATGAGTTCCAAATTCACTTCCTGGGTAAGAACTTTCTCCTAAAATTTCTTAGTAGATTTATTAGTGACTTGTGTTTATTTCCTGCAGTTTTGGAATCTCCTTCCAGCTGAAATAATTTCTCTTGGTCTATCCTAGCAATCCTATTAAGAATTTTACAGATCTCCACCAGGTCACAACAAAATATAAGACACCAAGAGGAATTCAGTTGGGAGCTTCAGTTATCAAAGACATAGGGCTGAGTCAAAGCAAGTGAAAATCCTCATTAAAGCATGGATTTATCAAAACTTTCAGCTTTCAATACTTCTACTTTGGTCCGAAATGTTGAGGCTGTTTACTGGAAGCATACTTGTACTATCAGCAGTCTAGGATTGACAGGCTGAATGGTCAACGCTGTCCCTATGATTGCTGAAAATCAAATGCATTGTTTTGTTGCATCTGTCCTGAGGGCCAACAGGAATTGGACCTGAAACATTCAAAGTCACCGTTCACTGAACATACTTTCGTTAGAACCCTTCCTTAAAGACAAAGTTCCAATAAACCAGGTCAGGAAGAAACACCTGTTCCAGCTGAGAAGTGACAAAGATCAGTGCATGCTTAGAACGAAGCCACACTGTTGGCCGAATGAACTTGCTTACCTGATGGGGAGAAACTGGTGAGATGCATGAACTGATGTGCATGTATGCAGATGTACATATGGCAACCTGAAAACATCAGCTTTCTGTCTGTGGTTAAAGCAAAACATCACACCAATGTACATCTCAAACAAGCTAATGGAGCTTTGAGAGTAAGGACTCCAAACTAAGAATACCTAGGATATTAGGAACAAAAACAGAAGTTGTTGGAAAAGCTCAGCAGGTCTGTGAAGAAAAATATCAGAATTAACATTTTGGGTTGGGTGACACTCCCCTGCTCTGAGGAAGGGTTACTGGACCCGAAACGTTAACTCTGACTTTTTCCTTCACAAATGCTGCCAGACCTGCTGAGCTTTTCCAGCAACTTCTGTTTTTGTTCCTGATTTACTGCATCCGCAGTTATTTTGGTTTTTATATCTCGGATACTGCCCAGCTCCTTCCCCAATGGAGCTGAAAGGATAACCAGCTATATTTCAAGCAAAGGAGAAAGCACAATTGGTCCTTCCAGCAACTGAGCTTCCTATGTGGCACTTTATCAAACAACCTTTGAACACTCATCATTATATGCCATGCATTTCCTTTATCCATACCTTTTGTTATCTTCTGAAAGAATCTTATAATGCATGTGAGGAATAACTCAACTTTTATACCAGACCTAACCCTATGCCAGCTGGCCTTAGTCAATATAACTCAATTAAATGGATATCAATTTCATTGTATATTATGGTCCCTGGGAACCCACCTATTACCAACGTTAAGTTGAAAAGGTCTACAATTATTGATTTTGCCCTTTCTTGGTTTTTGAACAGAAGTTGGCAACCTTCCAGTTCTCGCACATGGCTTCCTTGAAACATAATCGAATGTGGAAATTATGACTTTCGCTTTCCCAAATGCCTTAGTTTCTCAATAAAACTAACTTTCAAAATCTTCTGCTAATCCTTTTCAGAGAAAAAAAAGAGTTAAAAAAATGTTTTGCAGAGATAGTGTGATTGAGAACAAACTGCTGTCACTGTTTGCAGAGTGAGCTGCAGAGCCTTCAGCCTGTAACGAACTACAAACCATTGAGTTGATTAGGCATTTCACTGTTCTGTTGTTAAGTTTTGTTGAAAAGCCCTTCAATAAGCTACATCTTGATAAATACAGTGTAACTGGCTGTTTTAACAGCATATTAACTTCATAATTAATGCTAAACAGCCTTACTGGTCCTGAAAGAATAATTTAATATTTAGTCAATGTCAACACATAAGAAATTACATTTAAACTTAAAGTAAATTCTAAATGTTTGCAATTGCTTCACTTTTACCCTAACCCCATGTGTAAACCCCAAATCATTTGCTATCTGTAAAAGTTATGATTAAAAAATGAAGGGATTCAAGGGTTTTTAATACCCTGGTTTGTTGGCTAAGAGAATACTTCCATTTGACTGGCTGCTTACGCTGATGATGACTACTGCTGGACACCTGGAGATTCTCTTCGCAGATTCAATAAGTGTTGTTACTGATAATCATCGAATTCAGCCCATTACCTCTCTCAATATGAGTGTTTCATCAATTCACTACCTTAACTGGCTTAGCCAGCTGGGAACTCATGAAAAGTGTATTTTTTAAAAAAAAAAGAAGACACCACTTCACTTTAGGTTGCATTCAACGCAGGATTAATTCAGTAGAAAATATAGTCAATAACAACCTGACTTTTTAAGTTTAATACGTCCCACCAATTTGCTTGTAAATTGCATTTTGGATTTATCTATTTACTTTAAAAATATTCAACCTCCTTTTGACTGAAAAGCTATAAATTTTATGCAATAAAATTGCTAATTCATTGTTGAAACCTGTTCTGCTACACGTGTTTTGATTGATCGCTGGTGGATAGTTAGTGAAAGACAGATTATCCATCTGGAGGAGTCTTCACTTCAGCCTCACACTCTGTGGGAGCATAACCAAGCTTGACGGGCTCTAAGAAACCACTTGCTGAGTGTGCACCTGGAAATGCCTTTGTGATGCTGTTGAGATGCAATGCCCCAAGATTTGTGACTCCCACATTGCAAGTCATTTCCAAATTTGAATAGCTGCATTAGTCATTTCTGCTAGTTCAAGCTAAACTTCAACTAACTGCAAATTGTGATCAACCTGCTTAACCCCATCTCAAAATTATATGCTTCCAGGAACTGGTGGCGTCTACAGATTTATGATCAAGGAATGAGGATAAGATTACCAGATGGGTAATCGTCTTTTCTCATTTCACATCCTCCTTGTGCACTGTAGGAGCACCGCAAGTAGTACAAGTGGAGGAAAGACACCCGCACAAGAGCTACAACACCAGCTGTCAGGACTACTCTGCCAAAAGCATCATATGTCCCAATTAAATCTGGAAAATATTTAGTAAAAATGTTGTGATTGCTACAATGCATGACAATTTATAAGAAAAAAAAACTAAGAACGAGTTGTCAATCACCAAATGAGATTTTGGTTCAGTTGTATTCACCTTCAGAAGAAAATTTTAATCAATGTCTAATTTTGGATGGGTAAGGACAGAGCTCTGTAGTCATTTTTCCCCACTGTCTTTTCACTTTAAATCATTTTAACACTGTTAGCCATTCACGTGATCAAGAAGCTACTAAACATACAAGAGTTTAAACTAACATTGTTCAAGACAAAGCTGAGGACTTCACCATTCAGCCAAATATGTGTCACTTCCATAGCCAAAGATGGATTATTTCCATTGAATTACATGGATTTTAAAATGAATGACAGGAAAATCAGTTAACATTTGTTTTGCCTTTCAGGAAGCTCATCTTGTACCAGTGCGTTAAAATTAATTGTATTCTCATTTTGGCCACATTACTACCGGAAGCAGGTTCTAACTTAATCCATGTGCATTGCTAGTAGAAGATAACTCTGCTGAGAGACCAAAAAAAATGGATATACTGCACCAAAACAGAATTTGTTAACAAAAAAACCTATAAACCTGAAACAAAGAAGCAAAGAGGACCTTTAGGGATTGTGGAATAAATACATTTTCCTTCATTACTCCAAACTATCGTACAACTAAAAGAAATCTTTTCCAAGGCTGTTTCTGTTTCCTGTATCAACATCTATTTTTTTTTAAAAAATCACATTTTCTGCCCTTTTCTACTGATTTATGTAACAAATCTACATCAGAATCTAGCCATACAATGTTATGCAAAAATATAGAAAAATACTGGCTTATTGAAATAGAAATTTGATCAAAAAAAGTTAACTTATTACTGCCTCAATTTAATGTGCCAAAAAATCTTGCTTAAAGCAACTGCAAACAAAGAGCTCTAATGGCTGTTACCTTAACACCAGAAAGATTTATTAACCAAGAGATTCCATACTCAACAATTAGTTGCCATGCCCATCCAGTAATTTCATTTCTCAAAAATTCTTCTACACTGCAAGGTTAGAAATTTTTAAGGCTTAAATATACCTCAGTATGGTGGTGCTAGTTGTACTCAGAATGGGAAACACCATTTCTGGTCTTCTGCTACAATTTCCACACAAAAGTTTACAAAAGCAACTGCATCAGATGCAGCACATCAATGTGCAACTTCCATCTACAACATAATCCAATTTAGCCGTTTTATGAATTGCATGATAAGTTTGTCATTGATTTGAGTCATGTTATTTCGTTAAATAACTTACCATTGCTGTCGCTGCTGCAGCAGCTGCCTGAGCTACTGCCACAGCCTGGTTGGCCTGGTGCTGAGCAGCCTTAATTTTGGCTTGTAAATGTGCAGGAGGATGGAAGTATTTGCACTTCTCTCTTGAGCATCGACCTTTGATATAATCCATACAGACAGTTACAGTGTTGTCATTGGTGTCCACCATTGTGCTGTCTGCAGGGTGAGCAAAGCGGCAGTCGGTCTCACCCCGTGTGCAATTCCCTCGCTGAAACTCTCTGCACACCTGCCAGAAGAGGAGACAGAACTCTACTTAGATTTAATGGAGTTGTTTCATTTGCAAGTATTCAAAGAATTAAGCCAAAGGCAAGGCCAAGATTAAATACAAGCCTAAAATTTCATCCAGGACAGAAATCATTCATGAATAGGGAATCCAAGGGCAGGCAATGGCTTCGTGGTTATATCACTCGACCATTAATCCAGAGACCCAAGTAATGTTTGGGTTTGAATCCTGCTACAGTAAATAGTGGAATTTTAATTCAATAAAAATCTGGAATTAAGAGTCTAGCGATGACCATGTATCCGTAGATTCCTTTAGGGAACGAAATTGCCATCATTACCTGGTCTGGCCTACATGTGACTCCAGACCCACAGCGATGTGGTCAACTCTTAATTGCCCTTTGGGCAATTAGGGATGGACCATGAATGCTGGCCTGGCCAGTGATGTCCTCATCTCATGAATGAATAATCCAACGATAGCTCACTTACATGAACAAAATTCATATTTGTACTATGGAGAATTTTGACTTATTTGTAACATCACTTTTCCAAGTTACATATTGCCAGTATGATAACCACAGGAAATCCTTCTATAACCATGACAAAGTTACAAAGTCTGTGACGATGTTAATTTAACAATCAATATCATATTTGAGGAGAACAGTTACAAGCAAAATGTAAACAGAATTAAGCATCATCAATATGTCATTTGTTGATCTATTTATTCTGATGACCTGATTGGTTTTGAAGCACATTTTAATTTGTAAATCACAAGACACTAAGGTTTACCAAGGAAAAACAAAATTCTAGAAACAGTTTTAAAACTACAAGAGTAAATGCAAACTACTGTATTACAATTTTACGGTCCCTATTGTATTGTTTGCCAAGTTAACTGCTCATTGAGTTGTCAAAAGTATGTTTCTATGTTTGCTTAAGATTCAGAAATGTGAAACTAAATTTGATTTGATTAAAGACAATTCCCAAAAGTTCAATAAATAAATGCACCAGATAATTCATTACTGGGCCACATTAGCCAGGCAGATTTCAGATGGTTTCTTGACCATTGCCAAAGACTGCTAGGGTCAGCAGTGAACCAGATATAAATCACTACAGCATTTCTGGAACCAATAAGGAATAAGAATCGGCCAGAACTCCCACCTTCAATTTCTATGAAGTAACCAATGTTAGAAAGAGCTTGTTTCAGGAGGACCAAACTGGGTATGTCAACAGCACACTCATCATCTTTATGATCAAATTATCAGTAGACATTTACTATCCAACTTTACAGAAAGAATTGCCAGTATCATTGAAACCCAAAACAGCATTTGAGCAGAGGCAGCTACCATTCAGCCAAATGCGCCTGCTCGTACACTCTGGAAAAGGTACTAACTTAGCACTATTCTCTTATTTTTGGTCACCCTTCAAAATATTGTGTTTTCGAATAGCTGTCTAATTTGTTTTCTTAAAAAAAAACAAATTGATGAATTCAGCTTCCATTAATGTATCTTTTAGAACCTTCCATATCCTATTGAGCCACTGTGCAGAAAAGAATCTCTTTATTCTTTTACTTTCTGTCCCCTAGTTAGTCAATCAATGACTAATGGAAATTTTCATATCTACCTCATCAAACCAAATTACAATTTTGAATAATACTACTAGGTCTTCTTTTAACCACTGCTGCTTTCTTGAAAAGATGCATGGTTTATCTCGTCTCTCATCAATGGCATTTTGGAATATCACCTTTATATCCTGATCATGACCTGGAGATCCTCTAAGTAGGCTGCCCATCACTGTACACAATATCCTGACTATGCCATGTTATGGACCAGACCAGACCTTCTTAAAATTTTTAAGAAGGTAGCCAAGACCCTAACTTTTCTTTATTTTGAAAGGTAGATATGAAGTGCCATGTTCCAGATGCGGTGCGACTGGTCAAACTACTCTATGTTAAGCAAAACACAATTTATTTAAACATTACAATTAAATACAAAAGAAAGAGGAGTTTAGAATAACTTCTCTATTGGAAAACTTTACTGAATAATAGATACCGTACCTATTACTAATTAACTGTTCCAATATAGTAACATCCTATAAACACACCCCTTGGCAAAAAGGTAAATTCAGACAGATTCTTACACGCTGTTCTCCAATCCAGGAGGAAGAAACATCGAGAAGGTTCAGAGAGAATAACAGCTAGAAATCATTCACTGAAGCTTCCAATTCATTGGAGATACCAAAAGCTTCTGATGCTACTGAAATAACCTTTTAAAGTGACAGCATCATCAATTAGCTTTTGTACTCTCATGTTCCTATGAACAAAACCAGTGATCCTGTCTTTCTTTTAAAACATAAATCTTTAACAACTTGTTCTCCTATTTCAAAATATTTTTCTGAATTCCAAAGTCTATCAGCTTCTCCATTGTTTTTAATCTTTTACTACTTGGCATATATTTCATATCGCTTTCTTTCAAAATATTGAAACTAATTTCTCTGCATTAACCTACATATGAAAATCACATGCTTGTGAACTTGACTGTCCTCCTGAACTTACTGTCCTCTTCAGTTAACCACACTCCCTACTTGTGTGCTGACTGCAAATGTTTGATACCATATCTAATCCAGATCATATATTTGTAAATAAGAACTATGATCCTTACAATGATACCCGGAGATACTACTGGCTTAATCCTCCAATCTAAAAGATATCAATTGATCACTTTTCACATTTCTGTTCTTTAATCAACTTTCAATCCAAATACTCTCCATGTCTGCACATCCCTGGATACTATGGGCAATTTAGCACAGCTAATCCACCTAATCTGCACATCTTTGGACTGTGGGAGGAAACCAGAGCACCTGGAGGAAATCCACGCAGGGAGAATGTGCAATCTCCACACAGACAGTCACCCGAACAGGGAATTGAACTCGAGTTTCTGGCGCTGTGAGGCAGCAGTGCTAACCACTGAGCCACCGTGCCACCTCAGCTCTTTGGCTCTAGAAAACTAATTTCGTACTTATACGATGGCGAATTTCATTGTGAAATAATCCAAATATTATAAAATGATAATTCCTGTTTCAACCTTAGTCCCACATCTAGATCAAAATTATTTATTAACTCTCCATAAAATGTAATTAACAGTGAATTTTATCTTCTGGCTTACTGTGTGAGAACACTTCAAAATAATGTGTTATTTACCTTGTTTGCTGAAATCACTGCCAGTGGACAGAAACCCCTCTGACATAGCACTGATTCAAACTAAGATCTGGAATGCAGAAATCATCAAAGACTTGCTAGATAGTTATGGTGAAATTACCACAAGATCAGTGGTGATCGACAATCCTTAACTGTTGACTGCAAAATTCAGCTTACTTAGTACCACATCCTTTGTCAGATGCTCTTCACTTCTGATTCAAGTAATGTTAGGCCTTTCCCCATTTTCTTCAACTTATTCAAATCTCCAATAATTTTCATTTTCCATTCCATTGTGAAATTTTTAAGTCTTCTTAGAATTTCAATTTATCGCCTGTACCCAAGATGATATGTTTTAAAACTTGTTGAAATAAAATCTTTACACCCTATTAAATCCATCACTTGTTCTTTCATGAAAATATTTAGTAAATCTAAACTCTTAGCCTTTTATTTTCTCCTCAAATCTCACTGATCTGTAAAGGGATTCTCCTGCCTACTGTGCCAGTTCTGATGGCATACTAGCAGTTTGCTTCAGTTCATGTTCCAGATTCTGGCTGATTTTATAATTTCAAAGTGTGCTGAAATGTTATCAAGTCCAATGCCACGGTTATGGATACAAGAACAAAACAACATGCACCAGAATCACACTGAATTTATACTAAAGGTGCTGCATTGATTTGACAATATTTTTACCTCTAATCGGTCTGTCCTCATGTGCTTCGGCATATTTCCTGATCCAGCAACTGAAATAGGTGGGCTTCCAGGGACAAGTACAGGGGCACTAGAGAGAACTTCTGTTGGAACTAATCCGACACTGTGAGGCACAGGTGCCAGAAAAGGACTAAAACTAAAAGGATGATGATTTACTCCCGTGCCAGGATTCACTGGAAACGTGGGCTGCGGAAAAAAGCACAAATATGCTTGATGAAAAATTAAAAAGGACAAAGTAGTGCAGAAATTTACTTAATTTTTCACAACCAGACCGAGCAGAATCGCATTTATTCTACAGAATTGTTTGGGCTTCAAGAACTTAAATTTCTAAAATGGAAAACAGATTTTGCTCCTTTTGCTTTGGGGTTTGCCAACTGAGAAAAGAAACAAAAACTCTACAAGAGGTATCGAGCAAAATACAAATTGGTGGTAGAGCTTTTGATGTAAAATATTTTTTTAAAAATGTGGAGGTGTTGGATGGGATGAGGAGAAAAATCTTTGGTTATAAACACAATATACTTACAACTGGTTGAATTTGAGCACCTGGCATCATAAACTGCATCTGTTGTGCCAGCATGGCTGCAGTTGTTTTCTGTTGTATGAGATTGTTCCGGCCATTAATTTCTAACTGCGTTTTTAAATGCATTGGCGGATGAAGATACTTGCAGTTTTCTCTTGTGCAACGGCCCTGTTACATGGAAAAAATTTTAAAGGAGATTTAGAAACAGTGGAAGTATGATAACAAATGCAAAATTCTCACTTGGCAGATATTGGAATTTGAATTCAGTTAAAAATCTGGAATGAAGGGTCTAACAATGACCTTGAAACATCGGTCGATTGGATCACAAATGTCCTTTAGGGAAGGAAATCTGCTGTCCTTATCTTGTCTGGCTAACATGTACATCCAAACCACAGCAACATAGTGGACTTAACAGCCAACTGGGCAATTAGGGATAGACAATAAATGCTAGCCTAGCCAGTGATGCCCACATCCTATGAATAAATTTTGAATAAAAAAACTCCTAAAATTCAAACCAGGCTTTATTTACAAATATTCATCTAATAATTTAAAATTATATTGCCAATGATGAGGTGCGATCACCAACTGAACCAAAGCAATAACCCCAACTTCAAACATTTAAACGTGCTGTGATCTCTTCTGAAGTTTGAATAGTTTTTGAAGCTCGGCAAATACCCACAAAGATATGGCTCAATAACCAATTTCAACTGTGAGAAACTTTACCACATGTGGCCTGTATAAAATAGTTTAGAAGGCATAATATTAAAAAGGCATGTAGTTAGTAGCCCTGCTAAAATTTTCAATGCGCAAAATAAACGGATGGTAGAATTAAGCACAAAAATCTACTCAAAATATTCCAGACTTCGGCACTTGTCATTGACAACACGAATGACATCTGTCCACACTTCCTTTCATTTCTTACTTTCCCATGCAATAAAGTATCCTTGTCCATGTAAATACTCTGGTGATTCTGTAAGTCATTTTGTAAACTGTTATTTGAACATACTTAGTTTTTTTTAGATAGTTTAGATACCTATCTTTTTGCAACTCCAATATAATGACTTTCATAAATTAACATTTTTGTTCAGTAATGCCTGCGTGTCACCATGGGATTGGTGCAGATTTAAACAGTAAGAAAGAAAATAGCATTAATATTTCAAGGAAGCATTACTGAACGTCCAGCCTTCTGCAAAGTAATCTCCACAGTAAGTGGCAGACAATTCCACAAATATTGTATTAATGAAGTCAACTGACAGTTAACAAGACAGTCAAAATTGGTGTTTTTACAGTAAGACAAGTGTAAAAGTTATTGATGCATCAGGTGTGTTTTTCCAATGGCTATGGCAACTCACTGGTAGCCCAGTGGCTTATCTGTCTTACCATGTAAAATTGTGAAACAGAATTCAATAATTCATGGGCTAGCACTGAAAGAAGGACCTAGATGTTTCTGAATTTTTTTTAATGAGAAGTAGGTAGTTCACCTTCATGGAATGGAGCTTGCAACTGTTATTTGCACATGGAGTCCGACTGCCTTGCCACGTATAAAGACTATCTTTTTGTTTCTCTGTATTTTTGATTGTGGGCTGAAATAGGAAAAAGACTGCTTTAAAAACCAAAGGGTCCAAGGATTATTGCTTTTTAAAAAGTTGCCTAACACTCATTTACACTGCTGTTTGTTCAAACAGTGGGGAAAGTTGTTAAAATAGAAGATGAAATGTGGAAATGTGTATAAAGAGACATTCAGCCATATTGAGATCTTCATCACTTTTATTTTATCATTTTGGTTTGGAGCTGTGAATGAGAGCTCAGAGCCAAAGGGGACCTTTGAGCAGTGAGTTGCAGCTTTTTTCTTAAAAAGAGGATTGGAAACTAATTGCAAGTTGATTCTTGTTCCAAGAACTCTACAGACATTGAGATTCCATACAGGCATTCTATTGAAACAGATGGCAGATATTTTAATGTTGGCAGGGGCCTCACAGGGATTTGGTGCCGAGAGAATGTCGGAAAATAAAACAGAAAGAGAAACCAAAGTTTGCACTGGTTTTGAACTTTTATTTTGTCATAGGATTGTGGATGCTAAAGATACAGTATGGAGGTTGGATTGCTTTGAGGTCATCCATCCATTATCAAACTTATTCAGAGAACAGAATCTCATTTATAAGAATTAAGTAAATATTCGTCAGAGCCTACTGAAATTGTTTGCATTGACCATGTCTTCAGAAACCAAGCAAGATATAATCTCACATGCCTGTGATATCATTGATCGTGCAGACTGTTTAAGTGAACTGGCTAGTCACATCTCTCTAACTTTTATTTTGACTTATCCCTTGACTGTGTCTCTTTGTTTGTTTGTCTTTGTGAAAGTTGGGCTAAAAATCAAAGATTGGGTTTAAGTCACAGGCATTAATTAGATTATCTTGTTGTTTAATTCTGCTCTGCTGAAGCTCCAATATTATAAATAAATTCTCAATTGTTTAGTTCAAACTATAAACTTGGTGCCTGGTATCAGGTATTCACAAAGTCTGGTACCCATTATTGAAAAGTTCTGGTTATAAACCACTGTGGTAATTGAAGGGTCATTGAGTATTACTGCATTGTGAATACAGGGATAGGGAGGCTGATTTGATGTGGATGCCCGTCTCTACGTTGGCAACAAATGGCTGATTGACAATGGGTCATCATTCCACAGAACAATGCCAAAGGCCTTCTGCCTGCCAACAACTGAGGTTGGCTTCCAGGCAGCTGAACAGCTTACGATTAGTCCGAATCTATTGGATGTCAGAAAAGGAAGAGCTGTCTCTTCTCTGTAGTAAAAGAAAATACCTCAAGACTGAATAAAGCCAGCTAATATTCATTCATCAGTTTTTGTGCGCTGTGTCACATCAACAGTAAGTCAAAACATAATAAGTCAGAATCAGTCAGCCTGTGCCTCCTGCAAGCAATTGTAAGTACTTGGGGAAGGAAGATAGAAGAGCTGCAGATCCTGACAAGCCAAAAAAGGATTATATCAGCAAACCCTGTGGATAGTGATGATTGAACTGCCTTTCCAGTTTTTCCCCCTCTATCCATGACGTCTGTGTGTGTCTGTAGGTATACATTTGTTATTGCACAAAGTGCGATGATGACTGCATTTGTTTTGCTACCATCCACCCTACTATGAATGGAGAATACAATTTTAACTTTTAGAATACAAACACATTCACAACCACATTTGGTTTGATTTTCTGTTAAGGAACACTTTGTGTTATTGCAGTTTTAAAATAGTATGAACGGATTAAACAAAAATCTGCTTCACTTTGCGATTGTCACACTGCAATTGTATAGATACAATGTCCTCCTAGTACCATAATGGTCTGATTCTTCTTGATTTCATCAACAGAGACTGACTATATTTAATTCCTGCAACAGGGTAAAACTGAATTATCAACAGAGCAGTCTGCGACATCACACTTACCTTCATGTTCATTTGTTAGGGATGTCAAAGAATGCAATTTTTGCTGCATCTACTGTAATTACAATTACATATGGTTTCTAAATAATGATCTGTCCACATATGCTTGAATAGCAACACACAACTTGAAATGTCCCATTATATTCAAATAAACCAAAAAATCTGAATTAAATATTCTTGCAATCATTCAGCCAAATAGATGAACAATAAATCAGTAATATGAAGTTATTTTTATGTGATTTCAGTAGAAGCAATGATAAAACTACTCTTTTTAAAGTATACTGACTTATTTACAGTGGTTTAACACACAGGAGTCAGACAAATACAAAACATCCATAGCCTGTCTCTTCTCAAAAAACACACCATCAAATGTGACGTTGTAAATTATCATGCCTATTTCCTAGGAAAGACATCACCAAAAAATGATAACATCATTTGGGGAAAAATAAGCAACATATCTAAGTAACATCAGTAAAGACAGAAATAACAGAAGAACCACAGACATGATTTCTGCAAGACAGGCATGATGCAGTACCAATTATAGACTGCATCTTTATTAAGATTTTGTTTGAAAGTTGAAGGAATGAGAGTAACTAAGTAAAATACAACACAGTGGTAGAATGAGATGTAACAAAGTGAGATATTTAATTATTACATTTTAGGGGGAGATGGTGGTAAAATGGTAATATTACTGGACCAGTAATCCACAGGCCCAGACTAAGGCACACAGACGTGAGTTAAAATCCAAGCATAGCACCTGGAAGAATTTAAATTCAATTTATAGACGTGGAATACAAAGCTAGTGTTAGTAATGATGACCATGAAACTACTGATAGTGAATCAGATGGATTCACTATTGTGCTTCAGGATGTTGTTGATGTTTAACTGCCCTTTGAAATGGCCCAGCAAACCATTTAATTCAAAGGCAATTATGAAAGAACAACGAATGCTGGCTTTACTTGTGATGCTGACATCTCATGAAAAAATAAAAAGTTAAGAACAGGAAAAGTGCAGAGATCAAAGGTGCATGTCAATGACTACTGAAAGAGTGCTGAGTGATAGCAGTAAGGCAGATTTAACTGTTAAATAATGTTAAATAATGAACAATGTTAACCTGCTGGTGAATTGTGTAGAAAAAAAACAGAATGAGGAAAGATTTCCTATCCCACACCAAATCCTATTTGCTCACTCAATTCACCAACTTTGCCTTTCTGCCCTCCATTGTTTCAAATTCAGACATTGCCCACACCCATCTCCAATCTCCTCCTGACTTCTCTATTCCTTTGATACTGGCCTGCTGTGCATTCCTCCTTCACTTTGTACTTGCGGCACAGCTTTTACCAGCTTCATTTCGTTCTTTGGAATCCCTCCCCTAAATCACTACCTATCTTTCCACCTTAATCTCGGTCTCTCTTTCACATTACATTACATAACCAATCTATCTTTGTGACTTGATGTCCAATTTTCTTGCAACTGTATGTGAAACACTTTCGTATTGTTCATATGCAAGGCATTATAACAAATGAAAATTACCAATGTACCAGAATACCCAGAGTAAAAGGAATGAATTGGAGTTTTATATGCTCTAGAGATGACGACCTTGAGGAATTCTCTGACCAAGACATGAAAATGATGGAATAAATCAATAAATACTTGGCTCAAGTAAAAGAAAAGTCAGGATTATTATCACAGCACTAAGAGCACGGAAACAGTGATTTAGAAACCATCTTTGCAAAGTCAGTTGAGGTGGAATCATAGAATCGCTATAGTATGGAAGCAGACCATTTGGTTCACTGAGTCCACATCGATCCTCCAAAGAGCATCTCACCCAGGCCCGACCGTATCCCTGTAACCCTGCATTTCCCGTGGCTAATCCACCTAACCTGCACATCTTTGGACTGTGGGAATAAACAGGAGCATTGGACGGAAACCCACGTGGAGAATGTGCAAACTCCACACAGACAGTTGCCCAAGGCTGGAATCGAACGTGGGTCCCTGGTGCTGTGAGGCAGCAGTGCTAACCATTAAGCAGTGCTGCCCCAACTTAATTTAAATGACAATGAATATTTTTGAGTATAGCATGTCATAGCAGTGTAATACACTAAATTCTGTTTTCTTATCAGTGGATCTTTTGACAGCAGTGAATTCATCATTGTAGAATGGTTACTGCACAGAAAGGTGGTCACTGGCCCATTCGGACTGTGTGGGGTCTCTGGTAGAGCAACTCAGATAATCCCACTCGCCCAAACTATGAATTTCATTTCTTTAAATAATTATCCAGCTTTTTTTTTTGAAAGCCTCAATTAATTCTGCCTCCGCCACATCATCAGGCAGCTCATTCCAGAACCTAACCAAAATCAATTTTTGGGCAGCGAGTGATTGAATATTCTTCTGGAGGGAAATGCAGGTGCAGAAAATTTAAAAATTTGCCCTACACTGAGAAATGGCATTCAAAAGAACAATGTCAGGAACAGTGGTTTTGGCTAAATTGGTGACACAATCCCTACAGCACCTGGCTGTTGCTTGTAGTGATCATTCTGTGCTAAGGATGAGGAGGGAGTGTAAAAGGTTAAAACCTTTCAGAATAGAGCTATGAAACATTGATTCAAAGTCTTCTGAAGTTAATTGAGCAGAAATTCCCTTAGCTTGCATTTAAAAGGGGATAAAATGCTGCAGCTAGAAACATGTTACTTTCCCCCTTTATCTCACATTGTTACAGCTAAACACATGAATCATTGATAATATTCTGAAACTCATTACAGGCAGTTATGAAAAGCAGCTGAAGCATCTTTTAGTGGAAGTGACTTTTTCTGCAGCTGTTGTCAACACAAGCTCTTTGTTTAGAATTCAGTACAGCTGCTTGCATACACAAAATTAAGCAGACGACATTTTCTCATCAAATATTCCACTTATCAGGCTCTTTGCAATAACTAAGCAAAGCACGCTGTAATAAATAAAAAGAAATGAAACGTGTTACTTGCCAAATAATTTTCAAAAGTACATTTGTCTGTTTGCCAATCTTAGCAAAAAGGTAGACATGAGTAAGAAATAGTGCAGCTTATAAAAGTCAACAAATGGCCATACAATAAATCCATAATTACCCACCCAATATTGCACAAAATTACAACTGGC